AAGGATAATGGGGGAATCTCAAGATCCTTAACCTCATCACCTTCTTTATAAAAGGCCTTTTCAAAATTAAGTAATATTTCCAAGCTCCAGAGATGCTATCTTCAGACAAGACGTTTTGGGGGGCCAGTTTTCAGCCGACCACAAAATCACCTGTCAAAGAGCAGACCCTTCCACCCAACCCACGCGCCCACCCACATCTTCATACACTCATCAGCCCAAATTTGGACAGGACCCTTCTGGGAAGCATAATCCTTTATCTGCAGCTTCATCAAAGGGAAAGCAGACATCAGAGCCCTACAAGAAATTCTGAAAGGCCCCTTGCCACCCAGCTTCCTAGTTCTGGAGCTGCTACAGCAGAAGCCCGGTGATGGGGCGCGTGTGACGGAGATCTCTGCCTTACCTCGGAGCGGGTCCCTGTACCTCTCGAGAGTCCCTTGCAAACATTTAAAGAGTGTTCTTCCGACTGGTCCCCGTATTTTCCAGAGGTCACCTTGCTTGGACACACTTGGCAGAGCAACACCAAGGTAAACACCTGCTCCGAAGCTGAGCGTTCCCCATCCACCTGTGGCTTTAATTCGGATGCAAGGTCAGAATCGGCCCCATGTGTGTTCTGCTGGCAAACAGGACGACTTGCATCTCTCGCAGAAGGTGCTTCTTGTGCTGATTTCTGTCCTGCCCTTGTATTCCCTTTGTGCTGATTTCTAAACCCATTTTTTTAAAAACTTGCATTTTATTGTGTTGTGTGAATTTTTATAAAGCAACCTGAAGCTGCCTTTGGAACAGAGGTGGCGTATACATCCTATCAAACCATTTAAGGCAAATAAGTGTGACCAGGCACATGTCTATTCCAGAGCCTGTCTCCTGCCCTACGGAGCGTGCTCCCCTTCCTTCTTCGACAGCAGGGGGAGATAAAGTCAACTTCTAGGTCTTTGGTCAGGCTCCTTCCCATCTGAGGTCCCGGCACCATGGAAATGCTTTGGCAGGAGTAGCAGAGCCTGGATGGGTTTACTCATCTAGGAGACAGTCAGCTAGGGTGTGCCTAATGGAAGCTCGTAGAGAGGAGTCAGTCACATAGCATATGACGACAGGAGGACTGAGTTGAACCTGTCTTCCCTGGTGCTTCTGCCAGCAGGACGGGTGAGGATCAGCCACAGAGAGAACCAGTGCCCAGTGGGGCCTGCTGCCGGCCTTGGCATACCAGGAACACACTGCTCTTTGAGTCTGGCGAGTGAGCCCCGTCCTCAACCTCCAAATTATCTCCATCTAGATCCCCGAGGTTCTGTGCAGAGGGACACCCCAGACACCCCAGCCAGCTTGCCCTTCAACCTCCACTTCCCACTGTTTTCCCACCTTGTGAAATCCCTGGGATCTCAAAGGCGCTTTCTTGTTTCTCACACAATGTCTTAGAGGCCATCTTCATGGTTTCCCCTTCCATCCTTTCTCCTGGAGCCCCACTCTGGCGTCTTAATTGCCATCCTGTGGGCAGGAGAAAAACAGGGAATGGAGGGTGAGGAGCTCTCTTCCCTGAAGTCTCGGTACAGAGCTGTGCCCTCTGAAGGGACCCGGAACATGCTCTCCGCCGTGGGGTGACTGTGATCTCGGTGATTTCTAATGTAAGTGCTCCTCCCACCCAAACCAGCGTTCCCAGTAACAGTGGCCTCTGTGTGCCTGCAGGATGCTCATTAGAGATTCTCCGTCCCGGAAACAGAACAGGAAGCAGGGAGGAAGGTCTCTGAGCTTCTGTCTGAGGTTGGCAATGGGTAATTCTCCAGATGGCATGTGCCCCCGTCCTCTTCTCTTGGGCATCGGCTCTCTGGGGCCATAACGTGTCCTTACTGCCTGGCTTCATGCTTTCATTTTGCTAATATTGCTCAGTTAGCGCATTTAATAAAGGTTTTGCCCAACATTCTCTAGGTACTCTGTTTGTCCATGCTCTTCAGGGAAGCAGGAGAACCAGACAGGAGACTGAGTGTCTAGGGACCTGTCCTCAGCTGACTGACTGATAGCCAGTGAAGCGGGGTGGAAAGTGATGCATTCTTGCCACAGCTGACCAGCACGAAGGCATCAAGCAGGCTGCTGACCCTTCCAGAGCCCACCCGCACTCGGTGGTTGGAGGCCCACACGCTCCCACAGCATCTTTGCCCCCTGAAACCATGGCCCAGCAGGCGTCAGCTGCCCTTCAGGGGGAACCTCCAGGTGCCATCCTTGCAACGTAAGCTCTACCATCTCCGCAGAGAATGAGCCCAAGACACATCCGTCTGAACGCAAAGGACAATCTTCGCATGAAGACAAGCAGACTAAACGTGTTCGGGCTTCTACGATTGGGAGGTTTTCTCAGGACAGAAAGATGAAGTTCAACTGCCACCTGGCCCAACGTTGGTGGCTAGAGAGCCTTTGGGTCTCCCGCATGCTTGGCCTGTGTCCGTGATCACGGGTTCTGAGAGAAATTAGGTCCATGCGCATGGAAGTCGGAGCAAGATCCAGTAGAAAGCGCCATGCAATGCTTCGTGGAAGACTAACGCGCTGGGACGGGAGACTGGAGGTCACAGCCCATAATCTCCTCAGACTTTGCTCGGTCCCAGCACCTGCTTGGGCCTGAAACGTCAACAGAACACAAACCACCTCTCAGAACTCCAGCTCTATCATGTAGCCATGACCTGAGGCAGGTCACATCACCTGTGCTTTTAATCACAGAAATGAAAAATGTCTATGAAAGCACTCGTTGTTATACGTAAGTTTTTAGAGAACTTATGCCCTCCCATCCGTCTGCTCACTATTCTTTTTTGAAGAATTTATTCGCCCCTCAGGGGCACCTGGGTGGCTGTGGGTTAAGTGGGCCGTCTCTAGATTTCGGCTCAGGTCATGATCTCAGGATCTTGGGATCGAGCCCCACGTCGGGCTCCCACTCAGTGGGGAGTCTGCTGGAGAGTCTCTCCCTCTCCCTCTGCCCCTCCCCCACTCACACTCACTCTCTCTCTGAAATAAATCTTACAGAAAAAGAAAAAAACCAAAAACCTTGTTCACCCTTCAAAAGCAGCTCAGATGTCCCCTCTGCCAATGCCCCCAGGGTTTGTTGGGTCTCCTAGGCCTCAGTGGCCCTGGTGCTTCCCTGATGACGACACTTGCCCTCCATGTTGGGCTCTTTGTGGAATGGCATCTGCCAGAGGCTCTTCAGGTTCCCGCAGCCAGTGTTCTCGGCTCCTGACTCAAAGTGACCAGCACTAAATAAATGTCTTGAGTGAATGGCGTCCCCCTGGGTTACAGGAAAATGGAAGCCAGGGGTCGGGTTGGTGAACAGACTCTGAATTCCTCTCGGGGCATGACAGGAGCTGCATCATTTGCGAAATGCAAGGTTTAAATGATCAGGAACTCTGGGTTCACGGCACAAAGGCCGTAGGAAGCTAGAGGTGATTTCTCCAAGTGCTCTGTGCATCGCCTTACACGGGGGCTCTCTGCTTCGGGAAACATCGCACTGCCTTAGAGCCCGTCCAGCCCTCCGCTGGCCACTGAGCCCAGAACAGTCCCGGCTCCAACTCAGAGGTGACGCTGTACGCCAGGAAGCAGGAAAGAACACTGGCGCATTTATATTCTAATGGACCTTCATAAGGACAGTGTATTAGAAAACATTTTATGGTTTGGGATAATGTTAGCATTTCTCACCAAGCTGCATTTACAACAGTACACTCTGTCTGGAGTGAGAGGAAGTGTGGAGCAATGCATATGAACTTCAGATGGCGTATTAAGAGCTGTGGTAGGTTTATATGCCTCTTTACCATCGGGCTGAAGAATGTGTCAGCCCTTCCCCCCAAGCAAAGGAGAGGCCCCTTGCTTGCCCCAAATTCATTCCACTTCTAGCTCTGATAGCCCATCTCATAATGAGATGAGCACCCCAAAACCCAAAGGCACTATGAATCTAGAGTTGCTGTTCCAGAAGAACCCAGAGGCAGCAGACCCAGGGAGCCGTGCATTCTAAATGTGGGTGCTCCCCCAAGCCTGAGACAGCCCTGCAAGCTTCCCTCCCAGAGATGGTACCGTCCTCCCGCATGGACACGAGTAGCGCCCCCTGAACTTCATGTGAAAGGACCACCGGGCCGTCCTGGGAAGATGCTCCGTAGGTCCAGGTGGGGCAGGAGAGTCGGCAGCTCTCCTGGGTGTCCCACGATGCCCACCTCGAGGGTCGGACTGAACACTAGGTGGCAACTGGATCCACGTTAGTCTCTCCTGCGGGACTTCTAGAACCATGCAGAGACCCAGGTCTCACCACTTATTGATTAAATCAGAACAAAGATGGAGGTTCTTGAACCAAGGTCAAGATTCTTCTGAAACCTCTCCCCGCCCCAAGTGGTCAGGGCTGAGCACAGCAGACCCAAGGTTCAAGCATTGTGAACCTCTCATTGTCAAAGGTTATGGAAGATGACCAGCTGTCACCTGGTCCGATCACTTTCACTGTTCTTGTGCCCCCTGCACAGCTGGGCCACACACTGAAGGTGATGTGCTGCCATCTGTCATCGAACTACTACTTTCAACACAGGAAAAGAGCGGGAACGCTCTTCCCTCTCTGTACTCAGCCCAGTTCCCGACACACGGTCTCGTACGGAACAGGCTGTCAACATGCTGGCTCGTGAGGTGAGTTTTACTTCCTCTCACACCCCAAAGGTCATGAATAAGTAATCATCACATCAAAAGAAAGAAGGGCAGGGGGTCTGAAGCAGTCAGAGACAACAGCACTGAGAGCTGACTAAAAATGGGGGCTACCGTGGAAAACACGACCAAGAACAAGTCAGTAGAACAATAGAAGCTGCTTCCAGATCCCTAATGGCAAGAAAATAAACTATCATTCTCTTTCAGTAGTTGATTGGACTCCATGCATTCAAATTCTGAAAACGGATGATTCAGAGTTCAGACCAAAATAATACACAACTACAGTCAGGTGGTTTAGCATTTTATCCTCATTTTTAACCTACAAAGTGTAAAGCGTTCATAAAAGATTTTAATAAATATATTAAGGCTTAAGGTGATCATTGTGTCGAGTGGAAGAGGCAGGACTGCTTTCTAATAGACTAGTTTACACTTAGAACCTTCCAGAACAAAAAGTTGGCCATCTTACAGTGAATGACACCCCATATGAGCTTGGCCCCCGTTTCTTTCTGCCAACATAACACACCTCTGTGTTCTCTTCCTCCCTCCTCCACCATCGGATAGACAAAGAAGGATCCAGATTTTGACAGGTGAAGAGAATGGCATTGATTGGTGTGACCTGAAATGTTTAGGGGTTTTGGGGGGTTTTTTTTGGTACAAAGCTTTCACTGAGTCATCAGACCGTTAGTAATGCAGCTGGCAGTTAAGAAAGCCCAACCAAGAGCCTTAAACGCTCACAAGACGGAAGCAAGAATGGCTGCCGGATGTAGAAGGAAGGGGGCCGCGAAGTGTGAATTTTCCTAGTCTGCAGCCTGGAGCCACTTCCTACAGCAGAGCAGCAAACCGTCCACCGCCTGCAAGGACGTAACCAGCCAAAGTCGCCTTGGGGGAAGGATCCTTGGGAGGGTCTTTGCCCCAGGATCCTCCTGTTAGGGTCCCAGCATGGACAGGACTCGTGGACAGGAGTGTCTCTGCACGGTGGTGCCGATGAGCACCAGGCGGAGTCTCCAGCCCTGGCAACAGATTGCCACGGGTGTCCTCCAAATTAAGCTGGCAGCGCTGGCGACTGCCACGATGGAGGAGAGAAGGAGCTTTCTTCGAGAGGGGGAGCTGAGGAGGACAGTGTGTCCGGTGGGCAGCAGCAGTCTCTGCTGAGATCCCTTTCTAGATGGACTCCAGAATCCAGTCACTGGAGGAGACAGGCAGCGACAGGTCCCTTGGGGGGCCCCGTTCCCTCCCCTCGTGGAGGGCGTGGTGCTCCGGGAAATACTCCTCCTCCTCATCGAAGAAGCCGTTCTCCAGGGCGTAAGTGCTGTCCGGGCTGGACGCGGCCTGGCACGCCCCCTTATACTCCTGAATGGACTCGTAGAGGCTGTAGAGTTGGCAGAGCAAAGACATGTCCAGCTGTCGCAGGCCGACCTTAAGGGAAGGGGTGGAGAGGTAAAAACGAGAAGTCAGCACTTGAGTTTAATTTTAGTGGAACACTCAGCCTGCCGTCTGCCCGTGCCAGCACATTCTTTCCAGACAGTGAATGACTCCAAGCATCACTCCAGTGCTTTGGGTTTCCAATTTTGAGAAAACCTTAATTGTGGGATGCCCACACCTCAGACGTGACTCAGTGGGGCAGGGAGGGATCACACCTGCGGGGCGGCGGGCCCCGGCCTGCGGAGTTTACCCTGGCATGCGGGCACGCCCTGGGAAGGCACGGAGCAGCACCACTTCGGGTGGCCCCAGCTGGTTTCACTTTGGACGCCAAGATGCAAGTTTGTCATTTCCTCTCGCTGGGATCGGATTCAGAGAGGACCCACATGGCCTTCCCTGATACCACAATCATTCTCAACTCCCCGGGAGCAAGAGTCCCCTTGCCAGTGACGGTGGCTCACGGGTCAGGGTCACACACCCCGCCCCCCGGAGCCCCCGCCCTCTGACCAGAGTGGCCTCCGGGTTCCCAAGAGTGGTGTTTGGACTCCCTCTCCTCCAGACAAGGTCAGTCATACCCAGAGATGATTGGGGCATCACTCCCCAGAGCAAGCAATTGAAGAAGTGCACAGAGTCTCCTGGGAACCACTTTCACCAGTGGTGACAGAACAAAGAACGCTGGGAAGCCACATACTTGTTTATCTTCAAGTTTCCCTCCTCCCATGGCCAGTCCCGCAGGACAGAGCCAAGTCAGCACAGGAAATGCACTGTTTCCATCAATCTCAAAGAGAGAAGGGTTAATCCGCTTGGAAATGCAACCTAGACGATGGCACCGGACACTTGCACACGTATGAAAATCCCCTGTGTTTCTTGTGAACCATGCAGCCTCCAGTCTGGCAGGTGTGGAGTCCCAGGTGGCAGGGCTGCTGAGCCCTGGTGTGGGGCAGCAGACCTCCCTCCCAGTGGCGAGGGGAGAGACTCGACACCGGAGGCTAGGAGACCTGCCTTCTGCTTCTTGGCCTTTGAGCACGTCACGTATCATCTCTACCCCTTGGTTGATGACAAAAGGGAATCATAATTTCTCTTATGGGGTACAGGGAGGATTCACTGAGACATCCATCCATTTTCACCAACAGTCATCAAATGCTACTGGGTAGCAAGTAAAGGGCTAAAGCATGGGAACGCGCAGCAGAAAACAGAGAAAGAGGAGATCTATGGTCTCTAGAATTCCCGGCCATGAGGTCTGCCGCCTGAGACTCACACAGGGGACACTGGGGTCCAGAAGGCAGCGCTCCTCTCATGACGAGACAGGCGTTAAACACCAAGTCATTCTTCACACCCTCCAACCACGCTAAACTGTCAAGCACACAGCGGCCGTCTCCCACAGCCGAGCACACCACGGAAACAGAGCCAGGTCCCGCGGACTTAGCGTGTTTTGCCATGACGTCCAGGGTCCGGGAGGGCAGACCGGCTCAATGGCATCCCATTCTCGAAAGTAAACCTTGAACAGGGAAAGCCACGGGCAAACCAAGAGAAGCCCAGGCCTGCCACAAACGGGTCAGATGCCACCTCCGTCCCGACCGGTCGTGCGTGTATGTTGTCAGGAAGGAAAGAGGGTTCCCGACATCTGGGCTGGAAAAACTACCCAGACGATGCTGACGCCCAGTTCCAGCACACAACCCAGCGTTCTTGACACAAATCCCTGCCCTTTCGGGGTCACTTGTATGTATTCTCCTGTGAGCCCCGACTTCCAGGCCAGCCAGAGAGAAAAGCACGGAAGGAGAATGAGTTTGGGCCCCGCAGCCTGCCCACGCGGGCCCACGTGCCGGCTCTGCCACGCGCGAGTGTGAGACCGCGGATATCCTGCTCAGCTCCCGGAAAGAGTAACAGCTGCTCTGGTGGTTACTACGTTCACGATTCTCTCCAGGCTGCCAGCCTGCGGAATCTCGACCTGGAAAGCCCTGGCCACTATGGGACTTACCAGGTGGCAGGGTTCCCGGAAACAGCAGTGACCCCGGGGCACCACGTTCCTCCTACGCCAACTCGATCACGAACACTGACCGGGAACCACCCGAGCACAGTCAAGCCAGATGAGAATTAGCCAGCAGACCTGCTTCTTGGGGACCAGGGTAGACACCACAGACTCTCGAATAGGAAAGGACCTCAGAGGTCTCCCTTTCACACCCCCAAACCCTTCCACACCAGTTCATTCATTTCTGGGCAGACATAACGCCTCCCTGCACAAAGTCAAAATTTCCCAGCCTGTAGTTCCAGGGCCCTTGACGCTACGTGGAACCGTTCCGCAGACCCGCACATCTCATTTCCCTCTTAACCGCCTTTTACACATTTGAAGGTAATTTTCATTCCGCCACCTCTACCCACCGGAAGAAACTATCTGTCTTCTCCAGACCATATCTTCAGGCCTGTCAACTCTCACGACGACCTTCTGGCCCATTTTGACCACCCGTCCCTTCCCCTGAACTGGCTCCTGTTTCCTGGGGCTCTTCCAGCCTCCAGATCTGAACCCGGTAACCAGACTGCAAGGTTCTGTCTTGGCAAGGTCATGCCTACCTATCTGTTCTAGGATTTAACACAAGGAATGAAAACATCAGTGAAGAGAGTCACACCCTCCCAGAGCTGCACTAGTGTTTGCTTAAAAAGTCACAGACTCATGCAACACGGGGTGCAAACTACGCAGGAATTTAAAAAAAAAAATCATAGAAAAGATTCATCCGGTGTCCTGGAGCTATTTCTACTGAGTCACTTGGACAGCCGTAGGGTTGGGCTACCCCAAGCCCATTTCCCACCTTGGAAATGAAGAATGGGAAAACAACAGAAGGGGGAAGGGAGCACTGTGTTCCTGGACCACGTCTGACTCTCATCCTCTGGGCAGGTTGGGAGTGGGAGCAGGTGACAGCAGGTGCCTGGGCTCCACGGACCCTGAACTACGCCGCCGGGTTCTCAGGAGCCGGTGTCCTCTGAACGTGCAGTTCCCAAAGCCCTGGGGTCCCTCTCCTCTTCAGGTGCCACATCCAAGGTCTTCCAGGCCTCGAGTTGGATCGTGTCCTGGGGACCTGTCTGCATTGCAGCAACAGATGACTCACAAAGCTGCCCTGTCCTCAGGTGCAACGCTGGCCTAGAAACGGAGGGCTGACCCACCTAGGAAGACAGCTCGGTCCCACGCACGCCCATCAGACAGCGGAGCGGCCGCCAAGCGCTTAGGGTGATTGAGCAGGGATCTCAGCACACACATACATGTCTCCGCACATCCCAGCTTCTCGGTCCCTTCTGCAGGCACAGACCAGGGCTCCTCTGCTTACCAGCAATCCTCCAAATCAGCAAGGCGGGCGTGAGGTCGGGAGCAGCAGGAGCCAAGCCAGCTCCCAGCCTGGACGCTTCTCCCTCTTCCTCGGCTGTGGCTGTTTCAACACTTGCTCTTAAATTCTCTAGAGGCGCAGTGCAAGTCCCGAGGCAGGATTCCACGTCCCCTACCTGCACCTGATGCCACAGTTGGCTGGAGGTCCCCTCCCCGAGACGGTCCCAGACCTGTCCCCACTGTGTCTGTCAAAGCCTCCTTGCTTGCCGAGCCTGATGCCAGCTTCTCCTCCACTCTCCGGACTCTGGTTCCGCCGCAGGGGCCACTCACTCCCTCCACCTGCTCTGCCTGCCCTATTTATTATTCTCCACCTGTCGCTGCTGGTCAGCACATGGGTCTTCTTTCTTTGTATGCAGGACAGCCCACATGCAGTGGCCCCTTCTCCCCCTGGGATCCCCTAGCACCCAGCACAGAGCCTTGCCGTGTAGACATGCAGGTACTGGCCGACTGTGTGAATACACGTCTCGGTAGAGACGCCCGCCTAGAGGACATCTAGCTGCAGCAGCAGCCTGGCCGGGGGGCGTGCGGGGACCAGAGGGCCCCTTGCTACATCCCGCAGGTGCCTGCAGGGGTGGCAGACCTGAAGAGGCAGCCCTTTGAGCCCAGAGCACCCCCATGTGCCCCCGAAGAAGGCCCCAGACTACATGGTCATTGCCACATTGACAAAAAGAACTCACCTTCTGCTTGACAGAGACCCAAACCCAAGTTTGGGGCTAGAAAGAGCTCCCTCCCCAAGTGCTCTTTCTAGAGTCACACTGTCTGCAGCTGGGACAGACTCATGACAGCCCCAGAAATCAGCCTCTCAATCCTGAAGACCCAGGGGTCTGGGAATGTGGGAAGGGCAGAGAGGGGTCATGCCAGAGAATTAAACTGCGAGTTGTTTCACAACATGATTAAATCACCCACGAATGGAGACAATTCCTTCCAGAAAAAAAGGATGGGGGGTGGGGAACGCCCTCTGCACTAACCCCCACCACTGTCCCGTTCTACAAGTGGGGGAAGCCTGTCATCTCAGTGATGTGTTCCCACATGGCCCCGAAGGACCGCCGATCTGATTCACAGCTGCATTCAGAAAATACAGCTCGTTTTCGGAAGCAGATTTTTAAAAATTCAGGTACTTTTAAGAAAAGTACAGAATTCTAAGATCCTGTCATGTGTAGCCCTTATTCTAGACCTTCAAGACAATTAAGGACAATCAACTAGTTTCCACTGCTTTAAATTGCTAAGGTCATTCCTTCCTCTCTCTGTCTGGGCTTCCTGCTTAACTTCCGGATCATTTTCCTCTCTTTCCCTGGGCCCAGAGCTCGCCTGCCCCCCTCCCCCACAGCACAGGTGGCTCATCAACCTACAACATCTCTAACAATCCTGAATCACCCTCAAAACTATCTCAACCCACAATGGACTGGCCACGTGGATACACCTCAGACTGGGGAGGGGGTGGCTCCCAGCTGGGTTTTGGGTCATTAAGTTTCTGACTATCTTTGGAGGGTGCTGTGGAGGACAGAGTTCTTCCAAACCTTTAAAAAATTACAACAGACACAGGACGATTTGGATACAAGGCCTAGAAAATGGAAGGTACTTTTTAAAAGGAAACTTTGGTTGGGTCCAAACAAAGTATCACGAA